AAGCAAATTTTTACCTGTGAGCCCCTGCAAAGATCAAAAAGAGTGTTAAACACTGCGGGTGTACAATGGCACAATGGTAAACATTCCTACTCCAAAAGGGAAACAGAAGGATAAAAGGGAATAGGACCAAAGGAAGACCAAAACCCAGCAGGGCAAACATTAAATCCTGTAGCTCCATGTGGAGCATGACTCCTGTGGCCCTGCCAGTAGCAGTCTTCGTGGCTTCTCTCTTGGGCTGCCTTTGCTCCTGGTCTGTGATATTTCTCAGCAGATGTTCCACCCTCCTGGGGTCTCTGATTTCCTGAGGTTTCCACTGCACTTCCGGCTTCATTCTCACAACTTCTCCTCAGGGGAACAGCCCAGCCTCCCAGGCCATCCTCTGAAATTGGGCCGGGAGCCTCTCTGGCCGCACAGCTCTTGGATTTTGCATGTGTTTGAAACCAGGACCACACGGGTGTTGCCAAGGTCTAACCCTAGCTTAAGTAGCCATTAACAATCAAGATGGGTCTCCCTCCCCAACCTGCCTGCCTCCGTGCCAATTATCTCTGGGAACAGCCCTTAGATGTCCCTAGAAATGTGCTTTACTAATCTGCTAGGTGTCTCTCGGTTGAGTCAAATCGATAATGATTAACTGTCACATGAACCACATGAAAATCTGTACTAATATATGAGACACATCAAAATTTGGGCTGTGCACTTAGGTGTCAGAGAAAAAAATTATCATCAGAAAGTAAAACTTCAAAGCAACATGGGTAAGAGTCGAGCCAATTCATGCAAAGGCACCTTAGGGAGAAAAGATGGCTTCAGGATTAACAGAGTTTCCTTTAACATGGCTGTGGATTCCATAAATAGAAATGTGTATTTCTCAGAAGGCAGTAGACAATCAGCTGTGAAGTTGGGAGTCAGGAGACGCACAGGTGTAGTACTCGGCGGTGGGCAGCTGAAGGTTTCACAGGGAGGGGACAATGTTCTTTGTGTCTTTCCGTTTCTCTAGCAAGATCCTGTGTTCTGATGAGAATGCATGAGATGTTATTAAATACTGGTTACCCCGCTCACAAAATGGGGTATTTGGATTCTCACCCCTACGTCTTCAAGCCTACTGGGTTGAATGTTTGCTCCACGGCAGTGCCGTTTCTACCATGGGGCATAACTGGAAGCAACATTGTCACCTATTCATTTTGGACTCTGTATCAGCGGACCAGCGTGCAGAGAATGGATTTGCTAAGGGTCAAGGAACAATTATCATGAAGCTATAGGCTATAGGGAGACAATGCCTGCAATTCAAGAGATTTATGAGGTGTGTACTCTACTTGTGCTACCACAACAAAGCAAGAAACAGACTTATTGTCTTACATTCTGGAGGTATTAGTCAGAAATTAAGGGGACAGGTGCTGCCATCTCAGGGCCACGAGGGAAGAATTTACTCCAGGTTTTCTTTTGTTTTAGTACCAGGGGTTGAACTCAGGGCCCTTGTACTTGCAAGACAGGTGATGGCACCCCTGAGCTAAACCCCTGGCCCTTCCTCTTGACTCATTGATGGCTGTCTTCCCCATGTGTCTTATATGTTCTTCTCTCTACGTGTACAGCTCCAAGTTTCACCCTTTTATATAGACACCAGACCATGGCATGAGAGGCCCAACCAATTTCAGCATAACCTTATCTTCAGTGGCAGCATTTGGATGTGAATTTGGGGGAAATGCAATTCAACTCATAACACTGGATTATTTCAGTGCGTCCATGCCCAGCGACAGCCATAAAGAGCAACAGGGACGAGTGGTTTGACAACGGCTTAATAACCAGAGGCACAGACACTGCAGGCAGGAAGGTCTAAGTCATTGCGTCAGACAATTATCTGCACCAAGAGAGGTGCTGGGGAAAGCGGTACAAACCTGGTAGTAAATTAGCAGAGTTTGTGAATCTCAGCGGCAGTTCCTTTGGTCTTTATTTTATGTGTCTTTCTCCCTCCGTTTTTGTCTGTTTTCCCCTCCTCTCTCTCCTCCTGACCTCCTCTTTGTCCTCTTCCCCTCTTCTACCCTCTTCTCCTTCTGTTAGAATTTACGGCCGCCCACCGCATTTGAGAAGCCAGCGTTAAACCCGAGTGGAGTGAATGGTAGGTTTTGGAAGGGACTTTCGTCGCCCACCTGTGTATCCCTTCCCCGAGTGTTCGCAGACTGAGTCCCAGCTGCTAGGGTCAGCGCCTCTGTCCCAGCAGCTCCTTCCGTGCAGCTGCAGAAAGTCGAGTTGCCAGTCCATTGCACAGAGAAGGGAACTCAGCCAAGAATTCTGGGGTGCTGTTTGTGAAGTCTCGGCTCCCCCACTCCTGAGACTGGATAATTCTAAAGTGTGTGTTTATCATCTCTCGTCATAGTTTTCGCTCAGGTTGAAGCCATAGTTGGTCACACGATTCTGACTCAAACTTGCGCGGCCCTCCTTTGTATCACATCTCCAGTTCCTGCCGGTGTGACCCGAAGTGCTTGATAATCCAATTTCACTGAAATCTTTTGCTCAGAGTCTCCTCCGGCCCAACCAAACTATGACATTATGTTATTTCTCTCAATCTCGATTTACTCATGTCTGGTGCGAGAGAATTAACACCTACTTTGAAAGTTTCTTCAGGATTAAAAAAAAATATACATATTATATA